CAACTGGATGAGTCAACTGATGTTGATAATTGTAGCCAACTTTTGGTATTTGTCAGGTATGTGAAGGAAAAAGAGGTGATAGAAGAATTTTCTATTTTGTGAGCCACTGGAGGTGAATACGAGAGGAAATGATGTTTTCAATCGCATCAAAGATTTTTTTACTAAATATCAATTACCAATGAATGTGATTGGCTCAATATGCACTGATGGAGCCCCAGCAATGTTAGGCAAAAATTCAGGATTTTTTTCACACATAAAAAGAGAATTACCGGAAGTTATAATAACGCATTGCATGTTGCATCTTCATGCACTTGCGTCGAAAGCATTGCCAGAAAGTTTAAAACAACATCTAACTACAGCAGTAAATGTAGTAAAATACATCCGAGGGCGAACGCTTAGTCATCGCATTTTGCGAAGAAATCGGTGCTGATCATACCGTGCTCCTATATCACACCGAAATACGATGGCTATCTAAGGGTCGCATGTTTAACAGAGTTTTTGAATTGCGTGAGGAAATTATTCAATTACTGACTAGTCAAAACTATTATTTAGTAAAAGATTTTGAGAGTAATGATGCAATGCTGAGGCTGGCCTACTTAGCAGACATATTTAGCCATTTAAATGAATTGAATCTATCAATGCAAGGATTTGGTATAAATATAATAATATCTAGTGAAAAATTATCTTCATTTATCGCAAAATTAGAAATTTGGATACGTCAAAAAAGGAACCTCGCTTCGCCAGTATAATAATGAACAAACAACAACAGACTAGTCATTAATAAAAATAATGTTGTTTTGTATTTATATAAAATGTACAATGTTTTTCAATAAACAATAAGTTTCGCAAAAAATGTATTTTTCTAGACTAAAAAAATTAAAACACATTTTTCAGTGGGGTGCGGAGATATATTTTCAGATTCAATGGGGTGCGACTCGCTAGAAAGGTTAAGAAACACTGCTTTATAGGTATTCAAGTTTTGTCTCAGAATTATTGAGAGCGGCATCTTAGAGAAACTGTTTACTTGATTCATAGATTGATTAAACGGCAAGTAGCTAGCTAGATGGAAATATGCACCTTAAAAGATGAAATGAATAAGACGTTTAAAATTTAGTCGCAGTGTCATGGACAAGATATGATAACAATTTCCATAGCTATTCTACAGTTTGGTCGTGCATTGATTATCGGATAAGCTGTTAATGATGCTGTCTCATCATAGTTTATTGCTCTTTATATCAAAAGAAAACTTCTTCAAAACTACATCTTAAATTGCTACGTGTCTCAGTCTTCTGCTCAGTTAAGTCCAAACGGTGCTACTTTGGTAGACGGTTGCACGGATTTTGGCGATTTTTTGGCGATTTTCCTTTGGCGAGTAATACAACTTATAGTAAACCCATTGATGGATAAGTTATTTATGGTAACCGATACTTTGTTGTCATTTTATTTAAAAAATAATACGTTTTATTGTGCATAAGTTCCGTGTTTAAAATATTATTTATGGCTTTTAAATATTAAAATCAATTTAATTTTGCATTTTTATTGAAATAAAAATTTTATTGTTTATCATATTTTATGAAATTTTTATGTTGTGGATGATGTAATCAATGACGTCACCTCACTTTAAAAGTAATTCGTTTTAATATGTATAAATTTAATCTATTGTTTTAAACATTATTTATGGCTAATTAAGACACAATAACACGCCGAATAAATACTAATTCAGAAGTCAAACAACAAAAATCAGCGTTATATTTACAAAATTTTCACAGTATTATTTATGGCTGTTAAATATTAAAATACAATTTAATTTTGCATTTTTTTTTAAAAATGATTTTATTATGTATGAATTTTTAAGTAATTTTAGTTCTAGCCGTGATGTAATAAGCTCTTTGATTGGTTATAGAATATTTGTGCATTAACGAGCTGTAATCAGCTCCCTGATTGGTTACTGACAATTTGTGCATTTCCGCGTCGTTTTAAAATTTAATTCATATCTGCGAATTCCTTCAAAGATGTTATCTAAATTATGATTCTGATTTTTTTTGTGGTACTTATCAATAAACCACAGGTTAAATACTCAAAAAATGTAAGTACATATTTTTCTTTATTTTTATAATTGTATACTTCAATTTTTGTTAAAAAAATTAATACTCTATTTTCAGAAATTGCTGAGATAATTATTTTCCATATGTTTTAATGTTAATTATATTCTATATAACGTATTTTAAAGTATTTGAATTTAATAATATTCTAATTCTTTTAAATGTTGGTATGATGGTTTTTAATTCGATAGTCAATTTCAGTAATATTTTAATCTAATTAAACGTTGGCCCAATGTTTTTATTCTCTTCTTTGCTATATGAAAGTAATAATAACCTTACTTTAGTATTTTATACTCATAGTAAATGTATTTATTTACACTTGTCTGCCATCTTAAAAAAACGACATTTTCAACAAAAAATTAATCCATTACTTTAACGATATTTATTTTCTTTAAAGTTTCGAATACTTTACTATGCGTAAAAACAGCGTTTTTCAAGATGGCTGACGTTTGTAAAAATCGCGGCCAACAATTCCGCCAACGTAAATCGCCAAAAATCCGTGCAACCGTCTACTAAAGTAGCACCGTCTAAACTTAAATTTTATAGCAACAAGAAAATTTTGTTTAACTCTTAGATGAATATTTCGAGCAAAAGGACAGTTTCTCTTTCCAAAAAAACATTTAATGTGCTCTAATTTGATGCAGACCGACTCGAACATAAGACACAGGAAAATATGTTGCGTAAAACAGATAACAATGAATCCAAGTACTTCTTACTCTTGATTTACTTCATGTTATGACCCCGGGAACGGAATGAATCCAACGCAATCAGCCTGCAGCTTCTAAAAGGTTACTTATGGAGGGGACATTATACTGATTCGGGAAGGAACTTCTTTGGGCGCCTACAATCATTTTTGTTTATTTGCTGGTGGATCAATGAACTCACAGAGTTTTCGGATCCTTGGGTGTCATATGAGAGTATTTGCTTCCACTACAGGTGAATTACTTGTTTAAAAGATAATGATATCAGTAGCAAAGTAATTATGCCTTGAAAATCACGGAATTCAACGAAGGAAATAATCAACTCAGTCATTAGTTTCCAATCCGATTGAGCATTTGCAGTATCCACTAAGAGATAGAGTTGTCATATTTCTCAGAACACGATCGTTGAATGAACTGCTAAGAAGGAAAGACTTGCATCGGCTTTAAATCCCAAGTGATCCAGTGTGATGCCTTGAAAATTAAGATTTTGACGTTAGCTGTTCTTTAAATGAATTCAGTTATCCCATACATATTAATTGCTTAATGGAAAATTACTATTATTTATTCATAAATCAATGAATACTTCTATATTTAAAAAGGCTATAGTGTCCTATCTGTTGTAATATTATCACAATTGTCCTTTAGACCCAAGTAGATTGCTAAGCGAATTACCTCTCCGTCTAATGTGAATGCAACAAAGCCCTAAGAAGATTTTAAATAACCTTTTTATTTAACATGAATTAAACAGAAAACACCACATTAAGCTGGATTTAAAATTTAAAAGTATCGCATCTGCATACTACTCAAATTTGGATTATTAAGCTCTCTCTAATCTTCCAATGACGCGTTTTAATGTTGACTGGCAGCAATGCTAAAGCCAGAATATTAACAGGCAGGACTGGGAGGCAGAAAATAAGCTGCAAACGCCGATGCCCAAAACTTTATATCTCAAACATTCAAAACGTTCGCCTTCTTTTTAAAAATCCTTCTGTTTAATTTGCATTCTGGTAGCTAACATAAAGGACAACTTATATAAAACAGTTAAATATCATACAAATTGGTTAATTAACATAAAATAACTCAAAACTGGTTGATTCGTTCTTTTTGTATATTTGTAAAATATGAGTATCTCATTTTCGTTTTGTGTTATGATATTGCTGCGTTGACATCAAAATATTTAAAATATTTTTCATATAATTAAATTAGAAATATGGATTTTACCTTTTAAACCTGATAACTGAAATATTAGTTCGATTATTTATCAAAAATCAAATTAATTGTGGAATATTTTATTTCGAAACGTAATGAATAAATATACTTAAGATACTTCTTCATTTAATGAATTTTAAAAATAGAAGGAAAGATATAACTTAGACATTTTAAATTTGCAGTAGTTAGTTTTGGACCCTGAATTATAACGAGGAAAGTTTCGAATCATTTTTATGCATATCGGTGTAGTCAATCAGTATGATAGAGTGAAACTCATACGACAAAACAGAAAAAAAGAGACTAAAATTTACCTTTTTATGTGGGTGTTGCATTTACTTCGTTTTCTATTATAAGTTTAAAATTTCGTAATTTTTCTTTATCTGGATAGTTTTTAAAATTTTACAAGAATATTACTTTTGATGCCACGCTAAAGCGATAACGTGAAATTTGCCTGCAATAGATGAGGTTGTCTCATCTTCTTTAGAGCAAATAAGCTTAAATTTTATGCAAAACAGCGTTTTGTAATCTTGGCTTATTAGATAATTTCAAAATTTCAGTGAGGCTTTGAATTACTTTTCAGAAGATTTTAGTGCTTATTAATAGAGGTGATAATGCTTTTCTGAATTAATAAAAACATGCTGTGTAGTAAACTTTAAACAGCGAATGTCTTTTAGAAAGCCTCAAATTGATATTTTATCAATTCATATACTTTTAACGATTTTATTAAAAATTCATCATTATCGATTGTGAAATCATGTTGAAATACTGTTAAAACCTGTGTTAATCAGCTTTTACATGAAAAATAAATTTACGTATTCTACAAACAGCATAGTCTAATGTTGTAGTAAATGTTTATTAATTTGGTTTATGACTCGTAAATTTAAAGATGAAGTTAATGCCTTTTCTTATCTGATAATATATATTATTAAGATTTTTTTAGAAATAAGTTATTGAATATTAATACTAAAAAATAAGGAGACCGTTTTAATAATATTTACAAATCTCACTTTATTACTGCATGAGTTTAAAGAAATTATACAGAAAAAGGACCACCCCAATGCCTTTGATCCTTTTTTTTTTCGCTTGGATCTCTGACCAAGAATATCTATCAATCCTAGTTACTGATACCAAACAGTCAGAATGCTACGAGGAACATCAGTTGTGCAAGAAGCTCCATGATTTTCAAACGGAGAAACAACTTCTAACAACTTCTCATGTCAGATTATTTCTAAAAGGAAAAAGAAGAAGAATCCATTCAATATCTACACTGTGTATCTGTTAATTAATTTTTAAAGCTCTATAATATTTAAGTTAGGATAAAAAAATATGCTGTTTCTTGGACTGTAATGAAGTTTTGTGAAGAAAAACTACGACCACTAAAATATTTTTAATTATAGCAAAATTTATCTTATTAAGAATTTCGCTAAAATACCATGGTTATAAATATTGACAGTAACTGCGAACAGTGCCAAGTTATTTTAAGATCCTTGTGAAATGTATGACTTCAAAAACTTCATAGTGCATTGTAAACAGCACATTTATTACAATACGTGACAGCTGCCATGTGTAAAATATAAAAGCCATTTAAACAGAAAGAATAAAATACGTTTGTTTAATAACGATTGACCAGCCTTGTCTTCGAAGAACAGTAGATGCAAGTTTTCACAATAAAGCAATGACGTTTTGGAAGAGCGAAAGGTTATTATTGCCTGATTTTCTAACAGCACTTATCATAAACTATCTAAGTCTGTTGTTAAAATTCAGGGTCTTTAATTGAGTTTCTGTTCCTTTACGTTTTCATATTTACAATTTCCATAATTCTATTTATGTAAAAATTTAGAAAGCAGATATTAAACTTCCGCGTTTTGTAAGCATCAAGAGAAACTACGTATATGTACTACATTTAATAACTAAACCCTTTTGCCTGTTTTAGAAAGGTCACTTTATTACTGTAATTATAATATTCTAAGTTTGATTATAAAAATAAAAATAAAATTAGAATTATGGATGGAAAGATAATCATTACAGAAGTGTAAGATATATATATATATATATACTTTTGTAATGATTATATAGCCATGCATAATTCTAATTTTATTTTTATTAGATATATATATTGAAAGTTTGCTTAAAAATCAGATTCAATCATTACTTTAACAAGCCAACACCCATTTTAAATAACTATGATAAGAATAAATGATAAATAATAAATATTATACCTGGAAATGATTACCAGTATCCACCTTTTCCTCCTTTACCATCATTTCCAGATCCTCCACCATATCCACTTCCTGATCCACTGCCATATCCGTTGCCTGATCCATTGCCCTGTCCACTTCCTGATCCACTACCCTGTCCACTTCCTGATCCGCTGCCATATCCGCTGCCTGATCCGCTGCCATATCCACTGCCCTGTCCACTTCCAGATCCACTACCTGATCCACTTCCACCTCCAGAGCCTCCACCATGGCCTCCTTCTTCACCTCTACTACCATGTCCACCTCCAGTACCTTTAAGGCTGAGACCTACGTGGGCCATACCTTTGCCATGTCCGCTTCCATATTCAGCACCATCTGAATGATCCAATAATTTAACTTTAACTTCACGTTTAAACCAGATCAATATAATTAAATGCTTCGCCTTTATTTATATTTTATAAGTATACACTGTCTCAAAAATAAGATACTGTCTCGAAAATAAGATCGTGAAATTTACTTTAATGTAAAGTAATATCCATCTTATTAATAATGAGTAATATTCACCTTCAATATTTAAAAATTATACTATTATAATTTCTCTGTTCTTTATTAATACTGATATTTAAAGAAAATAGATTTACTTTTTTTTTCTTTAGATTAAGTCATTTTGTTACATTTTTTGAATGATAATTCATACCAGAATCATACATGTCAGAATTCGTACGTTTTTGAAAATATTCTCTAAAACGTGCAAAGTCGTTTCATATGTAAAGTCATTTCATATACTAGCCAATATAGAGATAATTTTATTGTTAATGTGTTTTTCATGTTCTATTTGAATAAATCTTAATAGAACGTAGAAGAAATGATTTATTCCTTTTTAAAACCGTTATGTAGGAAAAACTGTACGGCTCAATAATTGTGATTAAGTAATACATACGCACACACACATACACACACACACACACACACACACATATATATATATATATAATTTATCCGAGTATAAAAAAATAAAGCAGTTATGAACGTCAGTTACTAATAGTGCGGAAATAAACTGAGTAGGTAAAATTTGCTGCGTTTTAAACATAATAATTTTAACCTAAATCGATATTTATTTAGAATTCAGCAAGATTTATCTGAAGCATTCAGTTCTAAGCATCGTATCTTATTTGTATGACAGAAATTTCTTACATTAAAGTTTTACTTTTAGAGTATTATTACATGAAATAGTAACTCTTTGATGGTCATGAACGAGCTCAGCTTTCAATCTATTTACGCACCTCAGTGGGCGCAAACGAACAAACTGAGATTACAGATTTACGACTGACAGATATTATGCCTATTTGAGAAGAACGAATTGCTTCATCTCCAAATGCCGAAGGGTTAAACTGGAAATGTCTTTCCTGTCTACTGAAACAATAATGCTGTAATATTCGTACATAACGTGTATATTAATAAAAATATGTTGTAACTATTACTGTTATTTGTGTTACTTAATTACAAATATGACATAATTTTTGGAAAATTTCCAAAATAAGTATTTTATTTAGAGAAGTATTTACCGTATCCACCTTCTCCAATGCTGGAAAGGGAATATCCGCTGCTGCTGCCTCCATATTTGCTGGCACTACCTCCATAGCTCCCCTTACCATGTCCATGACCTCCTCCGCCAGATTTAATAGGCACTGCAAGGAAAATATTTTTTCCATGACCGCCACCTCCATGGCCAGCACCACCTCCTCCACCACTTCCAATACCGCTTCCATAGCCACTTCCACTACCGCTTCCATAACCACTTCCGCTGCCGCTTCCATAACCACTTCCACTACCGCTTCCATGACCACCTCCACCGCCGCTTCCATAACCAGAACCGCTTCCTTGACCACCTCCTCCACCACTTCCATATCCATGACCATTTCCGCTTCCATACCCATCGCCACCTGCATAACCACCTTCTGCACTAGCACCATGACCTCCGGCGCCACTGCCTCCGTAACTGTTTCCTCCTCCATATTTACTGCCACCTCCACCATACCTTTCTTTACCACCTCCGTAGCTTCCTCCTCCTCCACCAGATTTAACGGGCACTGTAAGGAAGATCTTCTCTCCTCCATGGCCACCATCTCTGTGACCACCACCTTCGTATCCACTTCCGTGACCACCTCCACCTCCGCCAGCACCATGGCCACCTTCTCCACCACTTCCAATGCCGCTTCCGTAACCACTTCCATGGCCATTTCCTTCCCCGTGACCATATCCATCTCCTCCACCATAACCACCTCCTCCACCACTGCCGTAACCATCACCACCTCCGTATCCTCCTCCGCCTCTATGGCCTCCGCCGCCACCGCCGCCATAACTGCCTCCTCCTCCTCCTCCGCGGCTAAGATAGCCTTCAGAAACTGAGAGAATCAAGCAGCTAAGTAATGTCCATGTGACCCACATCTGAAAAGCAAAATTTTTCTTTTAGTCCCCAAAATCGATTTAGTAACAAATATTCTATATTAGTGACTTCTAACTGTCTATAATAGATTTTCGTTGTTACAAGTGTTTAACTGAGTATTGTATAAATAAATCTCAGATCAAAAATTAATGCCAGGTGAAGTTCCGAAGAAGTTTTTGCGTAGAAACTCTAATTTTAATTGTAAAAATTGTTTTTTAATTGTTTGAACTGTATTTGGTTTTTTATACTTTTTCTATATTTTCAATTTCTGATAAAGATATTTTAAGGTTTTACGTATTTTTGCCTTGCCGAAGTGAGAACTGAATTAATTGAGAATTGTATCTCTAATGAAATTCGAGGAAATAAGTTTAAATGAAATGCAGGAAAAAATGCGTATAGCTTAACATTCCGTTCAAGGAAGTCATGTGGTGTATCAAATTTTCATTCATTTATTTTGTTTACTTAGTGTATAACTGCTTTACTCGAATTATCGTTAGTCGCTTTTAATATTTCATCATATACATGATAGATATTATCAATATTTAAAGCGTCATCTTTTCAAGAAAAATAACATATTACGACTTCTTTTCACAAATGAAATATTTTAATAGATATGTATTACTTAAATTTACCTTCAGTAAAAGTGATTCTTCTTGTTTTACCTATCTACAACATAAAGGATATCATATTACCTATAATATTTGACAGAATTTTCTGTGTGAGTAAAGGATAAATTTAATAACCCATCAATAAACATTTTCATGCATAATGTATAAAAATGTTTCTAATGCATAAGAATAAATATGCTGTTGCACGGTTTATAAAATTACCTGCATAGACGATAACTAATTATAACATAAAAGATTTCATTTGAATTGTTATACGTTTAGAATATTTTGATGCATATACACTACTAGTAATTAAAATTGCTACTCCATTGACGCGAAGATATGCGAATGTTAAGCATTCTAGCGCCTACACACAAAGAGGATATGAATAATGGCATAAACATTGTATATAAACGTGAAGATTGCGCAGCAGATTTCTTATTTGAAACTCTCATTTGAACTTTGTCTATGTAAAGGTTCTGTTATACCTCGTCTAAGGAGGAGAAAATTCTACCAGCATGTGTCAGAAGTCGACCGCAGCAGGATCATGTTCTATAGGGACTACGGTTTTTCATGCATTTCTGCTCATAATAGTCGGCTCAGGCAAACTCGACGGGACTTTCATGACTGTCAGGAGAATATGGAACTGATGGGTTCAAGAGGGTTATGTTGGACATCCATGCAAGATCTCAGTCGCCCCATGCTACCAACTGCCGACAGGGCAGGCAAATTGTCTTCTCGATCTTGTGAGTTCGTACCCCAGATTCCCGTATCGTGATTCAGAAATGGGCTTCGTGTGCAGAACGAGAAGTGTCAGCACAGACAGTAGGTTGTCATTAGGTACATATGCGGGTTACCTCCTATTCACATAGCTGGTAATGCAGACAGTCGCCGTTACATTTCCGATGTGTTAAGACCCATTGCTGAGCTCTTTTTGAGGCCTAAATCACGCCACCTTTAAACAAGATAAAGCATAGATGCAGATTGTCCGTGTTGCCCTTACCTTCCTCGATACAGAGGTTGTTCGACTTTAGCCCTGTCCAGAACTTCCCCTGATCATAGTTTGCTGCGAGACTGGCACGGAATCACTCTTCAGTCACTACGATTGAGCAAATCTCTTTAGTAAATGCTGTGATAAATCGCATCATTGATGCAACTCTGTGATGCAGTATTTTTCGCATCAATGAGATTATCATTCCTCAATAGTGCCTACTTAGAATTAGGAAAAATTAAAATACACATAAAAGATTTCTTTTGTTTATTATGAAATGTCTGTTGCAATGCTTACCACAATCTATAGTGCTTTATAGAATTTTCATAAAAAGTATATTGCAACAAACATTCTTCAGAACATTTATAAATGATTTGGCTTTTAGTAGATCAGATAAAGATTTAAGTCCAATATTATTGAGCTAAATGGCAAAATTATTAAACTTAAGTAATTTTTATAGATTTTTGTATTACATTTCAATTTATAAAATAATATTTTTATTAATAGCAGAAAAAAATACAACTCCTTGTCTTTTCCTCTAGAAGCTAGTAAATTAGACTGGAAGGTATGATGTTATACTGGTGATGAATGAAGCTGGTGATTTCTTCGAAAATTATTATTTAAAACTCGAACAAAAAGGAAGAAATTACAAATTTTCCATATTTAAGTTGTTCTTCAAAACGAACATCAGGTACACGAAGGATAAGAGCCACAAGGCAATTAAAATTGCAAAGCAAAATTAATTATTGTTAGCTTTTAAGTTAGATTTATAAAACTTAGAAGAATTGTTAGTTTGTAGAGACATTAGGATTTCTTGGAAGCAGGAGAGATGAAAAATTAGCAAGGTCCTTCGCTGCAAATCGAACCACGGACCTCTGGAATACCGGCCCAGCATGCAGAACCACTACACCACGAAGGCACGCTAGGAAAACGGGAAAGATACCTTATAAGTTGGGAAAGAAAATTAGTGTAAAAAATAAAAAGGAAAAGTAACTGTAAATTTGGAAAAGAAAGAAAAGGATAATTCAACTTCTTAACAGAAGAGGAATTTAAAATTACGTCTGTTGATTCTGTAAATCATGCAATGGCTGTCAACACAGAAATTTTCAGAAATTGATGCTTTTTTTTTTGTCAGAGTAGTTCAAAAACATTTCATGAACATTCTCTAACTTTGCCAGTGATGTTCTGCCTAGAGCAATTATTTTATTATTAGCTTAGTTCTACATTAGCCTATTGTTCTATCCAATGCAATTGTTTTCTAATTTCTTATCACTGAGGAATTTTTATGTTAAATTTTAATTCAAAAGTATACGTTAAATAAAAATTATTATATAATTGTCGTATTCAGAAAGATTAATTGTAAATGTAACAGAAAATGCTTTCTTGAGTGAAGAACATTTTTGAATACCTGTCCATTTTTTTCAAATTAAAAGTCTTTCTCTTTGGTGACAGAAAGACCTTTAAGGACCATAAACAACCTGTATATCTCTGTTTATTCAGGACTGAGCCCACTGGTGAGGTGACCACCGTCCGTTACCCCATCACTTCGATCAACTGGCAAATGCGATAAATTCCTGTTAACCTGTTCTAAGTTAAAATAGGATTTAATTTACAGAGTAAGCTTATTACAGTATGATTTAACTTAAAAAATGAATAAAATTCAACTTACAATAAAATTTCAGTAGTTAAAAGAGAATTTAAATTACAGGCGGGTCCCGTAGAAAAAATATGTCTCCAAACCTCATTATTCATTATTACTCACAATGTGTTAATTTTGTTGAAGTTAAAGTAGGATTCAATTTAAATTAAATTTTAAACGAAAATAATGCTAAGAAATTCTATACACGTAAGCAAGAGTTAAGCAGAGCCGGAATAGTTGCGTTAGCGAAAACAGAAGTAAGGGACATTTTGAAACTGGTCTACAATGCATTCTATGGATTTTTAGCGGTTTAATCATTTAGAAGCTGTTAAATGGAAAAATTCATCGAAATGACTTAATATTTTAAAATTAAATATTTTCACTCATTTCTTAGAAACAACTGACTTTAAATAAAATATTTACACTTATTTTTATGAGATCTAAAATTTAGAAGCTCGATGCTTTCAAATGGATTAGCACTATTAATTCCTCTTCATTCAGTTCTTACGTTAATGGGTTCAGTTTCCTAAGTTAAGTCTTCTTTTTTGAACTTAACCATGGGGCAAAAATTGCTTTAATTGAGTGCTCTTTTCTACTTTACTAAGATACCATTAATTATGTTTTTCCTTTCAAACATACAGAAATAAGAAGATATATATTTATGTCCGATGAAAATTGATTCAAAATGAAGCATTCTACACTACTCTATCAAGAAACTGCCCAGGCAATATTATATTTAAAAGCTACCTTTACTTTTTTATGCCTTTTAAAAGGAAAAATATGATGAAGTTTACGATACGAATTTAATTTATAAAAACAAAATTTTGTATTATTATTAGAGTCCTTATGTTACGTAGACTTACACGCATTTAATTGACTTGCAGCAGTTATGCATATCATGTATAAATTCAAAAAAATATCGGGTGTAATGATTATATTTTGCAGAGCATGGAAGACCCTTTCAGAAACTTACCTTTGGCGCAAATTGTATTACTAGCCACAATATTAAACGTTTTGCACTTAATTTAACACAGGAAAGAATAGCAGGTGGAAGAATCAAAACTTTGTTGCTGAGATTGGTTATATAAAATATTAAAAATATTTTTTACCCTAACAATTTTTGTAGCAGGAGAAAAAAGTTTCTCAGATTTTGTTTAGAGTCATATTTTGCAACATTTCAATCTAATAAGGTACTCTAAATCATTCTCTGTCTGTATGGGAAGGAATAAAAAACTGTTCCATAATTAAATGCAGTCATCAAACAGCCTTTGGGGATTCATGTTAAAAGAAAACCTGATTGAAATTTATAATAGTTTAAGGAAAGACTTCATTTCGGTGTGAATTATTGTATTAATTTCCGTAAAAAGAAAAGTATTGAATACAAATGAGATAAAAGAGTGATAATTTTTAAAGTTCGATAAAAGGAATTATATTAGTTTATTAACCACTCTACAGGATACAGAAAGAGAAGCTAGTTAGAGAACTTACCTTGGATGTTCCCATAATGCTTACGGAAGAAATATGCTCAAAAATGATGTCTAAGCTCCTTATATACAATTGAGTTGAAGACTAAAACCAGGTCAATTGGCTTTAAAAAAACAAAGAAAAATTTGATAATTCGGTAAGTTTAAACCTTCCAAATGAGACAGAAAACTTTCTCTCCATTTCATAATGCGTATTATCCGTTTTTAAGAGGATGTGCACTCATGTTCGCGTCTAGTTGACAAGACAAGCAATTATTCCAAAACTGTATGTGTATAATTATAATTTTTCTTTGCGAGATTGATATGGAATTTTTCAGAAATGTTACATTTTTTAAACCGTTAATCCTGAGGAAATAGTAGCTTCCCTTTAAATAAAAGTATGCATTGCACTGCAATATTAACGGATAGCCTGGAAATACACAGAAATAGATTTTTCTTTTAAGTGCATGGAAAATTATATTTTTTAGCTTTTTCCCTGCAAATTACAGTTCTTATTTTTTTTATCTTATTTGTTGTAGTTATAATTTTTCAACTGAATACGTTTCATTTCTATGAATACTAGTTAGAACTGAAAGGAATAAGATAATTTTTACTTCAGTTCAAATTAAATGGATGTTATATAATGACCTGTGGTTGATTTAGTGTATTTTAAGAAAGAATGAGTGGAAGAAAAAGTAATGTAAATTCTCATTCCTTTTTTTTTTTTTTTTTCATTAGCCCAAAAGAAAAATTTGCCCAGAAAGGCTACTACTTTCGTTTTGGCATTTTGAGTTGTCCACTATAAAATGGCGCTTTCCTTTTCAAATTGTTGCCACTCTGCATTATATTTAAAGCATTGTATTAGAGCCCTACATTATATTAAAAGCATTATATTAGAGCCCGGCATTATATTCAAAGAAATTAAATAATGAAGAATTTGCATGAATGTAAGTATGTTTCTCGCATTGTGAAAAAACAACGGTATTTAGAGACAGCAAATTTTGAACGATGTAGTCCTCCACTCGAATACGGGCATCTGGAAGCCCAAATTGGGTATTTGGAATTGGTTTTATTATATATTTCATAATTTGTAAAATTTTAACGAATTTTTGATTAACAGATTCAACGATTTCAAAGCAAGCAATGACAACACTCTACGGAATAAAAAAATATTTCCAGTACGCGAAACTGTGTATCGAAAATTCTAAAGATATGTCCTTTTTAAATATTTTGCGATATTGTTGTTGACTTGAATTTTATAGTTTCAGTGCGAAGAACATGATATTTAATAAATAAAGGTAAAACACAAAACATTAAAAAATGTCCCTTTGGGCGTAATATAGAATCTGAAATCTTTCAGATATTTTCCCTCTTTTTCTTTCTTTTTTTAATACAAATTCTTTCATTTTTTTAAACTGATCAAAAATCAATTTTAGATCGATGTTCACTTTTATGAACTTCTGTACAATTTGAAACTGACCACAGTTTCTCTTCTTCAGGGGAATAAAAATATTCTGACAAATATTTATTTGACTATAGTTTAGCTTTTTACAAAATCAATATTCTCAAATTCACAATTTTAAATTTCAGATAGGTAAAAAAATTAAAATAAATAAGTTATTTTGTTTTTGGTATTACCATCACATATTAAATGCACTAAGAAACTTTCTGCCTCTAGGGCAAACATGTTTTAGATCGGTTCAAAGGGAAGATGAAATAGCAAGAACAGGAATGGAGAGGCTTTAGAATGTGTTGACAAGCTGTGAGACTTGGTGGGTGAATAAACTCAGCCAAATTCAATGGCATCATAGCTTTGTAAGATGTCTGCCATATTGAAATTTTACCACGTTGCCTGTGAAATTTTAAAAAGTAAAGATAAAAAGGGATAAAATAGACGTTTTCCAAATATAAAAGTGAAAATATGCGCGTATTATATAGTATTTTAATCAAATGTTGTTTTCAATAGCTGTCTTCCTTATAAAACTAGTGCAAAGTTCATTTTATGGTATTAGTGCAGCTGTTACAATTTCATGAAACCATTTCTGAGTGGGATAGTGTACTGAGTGTTGTCTATAGCTTTGGCATAATATGTGCAGTTAGTAGTAACGGTTCTATTATGTGGTGTACTGTAGTTACTAATGTGGCTAGTTTGATGCATGACTACATGATGGATACTGTCTGGTACTGCAACTTTGCACTACAATCAGCTCTTACCGCCGCTCATGTTTTCTAACGCTACAGCCAAATCAGCATTCCGTACCACACAACACCACGAAAGACACATAATCTTACATTCCCCATTGGAGTCTAAATACAGTTTCACCACCTATCCTTTTCATCATTATGTACACGCAAAAGAGATGCCAATTTCCTAAAAGTTCTAAACTAATATAATAGCAAAGTACACTCTTAAAAAAAAAAAAAAAAAAAAAAATCGAGGCACCATGAATGAAGTGGTTGTTTTTGATGAAATTTAATCTGTGTATGTCTCCATACACAGATAATAAAATTATTAAAAAAATCAAGGTCATAGTACCTGTTCACGGTTTACAATCACCCACTGAGTGTCCAAATTAGTAGTTAGTCGAACCGCCCCTGGCGGCAATGCATGCTTGAATTCGTCGAGGCAAGGAGTGGTAGAGGCTCCTAATGTCATCCCGCGACACATTCTACCAGGCATTCATCAGTTGTCGCTCTAGAGCAGCGATATTTTGTGGCCCGAAACTGGCGGCCTACCATGCCCCGGACATGTTCGATTGGTGAAAGATCTGGTGACTCTGCTGGCCAAGGAAGAGTATCAACCGTACGGATACAGTCCAGAGATATGCAAGCGGTATATGGCCTGACATTATCTTGTTGGAAGATGGTTCCAGGATGACGTGGCATGAAGGGCAATGCTACTGGCGCAGGATGGTATCAACATATCATAGATCTGTTAAAGATGTACAGAGGATGACTAAATATGACCTGCTGTCACAAGAAATAGCGCCCCACACCATCACACCAGGGGTTATGGCTGTAGGCCTTTGTAAAACAAAGGCTGATTGGAAACCGCTGGCCCCGTCCTCTCCAGGCACGAATACGGTGGTCATCTGCTTCAAGAGTGCATCGCTGAATATTATAGGATGCCAGTCTGAGGGCAGCCATGATGATCGGCTGCCACACCACTCCAGACGACTCCCCCGATGTTGTGGGATCAAAGGCAAACGTCTTAAATGCCTCCGTGAGCGTAACCCGCCTCAGACAAGCGCCGTGAGATGATGGACGGTACCACGGGAGGTATACACGTGGCTGTAGTGCGCTTAATAATCGGCAATGATACCGATGGAGCGGTTCGGGCCTGGTGAATAATCATTCTATCTTGCCTCGCATTTGGGCTCCTTGGCCTTCCAGAGCCTTCATTTCGTCGGCAATTTCCTTGTAGCAATCATTTTTGCCAACATCTTTGCACAGCAGTGTCTGTACGCTGCAGGTGGCGGCCTATTACTCGGTATGACCACCCAGCTTCACGCAACCCTACAATGCGACCACATTCGACGTCGTTTAGTTGTCTGTAAGGTCTTCGATATAATCGTAATGCCATCTTTAGTTGCTTCTTTACGGAATTACAATGGCAGCAACAAAAAATGATAAATTTTCGTCCTCTGTTACTTTTATACTTTGCAAATTGCGCACTAGAAATGCGCACTGTGATCGTAATTCCTGTTTATTTGTCTTGAAACTTTGATTATTTGCATGTTCGATCAAGTTCTTTTTGCATACCAAATTTCGTCACGATCGCAAAAGTCCTTCTTGGTGCTCGATGTTTTTGCAAAAGAGTGTATATTACAAGAATTCCGTATAAGAGATGGCATCTTATAGCTTTTGAAGGGAGTGATAAGGGCTATTGTATTTCTAATTACAAAATTTTATTAAGGACTTCACGAAAGAAAAATATGCTGGGAGCTGCTCATCTAGACCAAAGGCACGTTCCTGAGATAATCTTAGAACAAATACATGTTTCTTATAAGATTTAATTTTGAGGAAAATTTCATTCTGAACTTGATAACAATATTGGAAATATCTTAAAAATCTTATTCTTTTACATTAAATAAAAATAAAATAAAATAAATATTGTATACTTATATTTATTCTTACTTTTTAAAATTCATATACTATATGTTACCGACAAAGTATGAAATCCGATATTCTATAGAATGCCTAGGCATTTTATAGAATGCCCAAAACTGAAAGGATATATATGTAAGGATTATACATTTCGGCACATTGGCCTAGGCATTTTATGGAATGCCAAATGACAAATTGGCAAAGTATAAAATACATCTGCGATTCTTTTTGAATAAACGAAACTACCAAGGTAACCAAAAACGTTCTTGCCGTTTTGGACAGCCAAAAAGATAAAAATCACAAAACAAATAATAATTACCGCTAATCCTCAAAGTAATCACCTTCGGTATCCGGTGCCTTTTGCCAACGAGTGGCTAGCTGTGCGATGCCATCGCATTAAAACTCTGGAGTCTTAGACGGAAAGAAACCCGTGAGGGCCTTTTCAAGGTCTGGCCGGTTGTTGAAGGATTTACCACAAAAATGGTTGCTCAGGGAATGGAAAAGCTGGTAGTCTGTTGGTCCGAAGTATGGGGACTATGGTTTACGGGGTAATGTTTCCCAGCCCAGTCGCTGGAGGGTGTCCCTGGCCTCCCGTGCTACATGCGGCCTCACATTGTCATGGAGGAGAAGTACACCCTTACGATTGACGTACCAACCCTTACGCTGGCTTTTTATGCATCAGTGTCTGATACACACGTTCGAACGGCTGCAATTAAAGGCCTGCCGTGATAAATTGGCCCACTGGCAGGAGCTCATAGTGCACGTTGTTGCTTGTTCGCATCAGAGAGTGACAAGGGTAACCACTTGCCCAGCTTTTAAGCATTTCCTATGCGATGCAAATGGAGTCTGATAATTTTATTAGATACCTGGAAGTTTGCAGCAAGCTCACCACATGTTTGGCTACTGTCACTCTCTATGGCTGCTCTCAGGGCCTCATCGTCTGTTACGTCTGTTACATGGCTGTTACTTTCTAGACTGCTAGGGGTCGGATATTGCCTGCCTAAGCGGTGGCATGTAAAGTCCAGTATGTCAAAAATCACAATAAAGGAATAAACAGTCTTAAAATTACTTTGTAGTCAGTTGCGGTGCATTAATTAACGGTAAAGAGTTCCGACGACCACAGGAGGCTATCTGCACACTCATTGGCTGGTCTGATTTTCTTGCAGTAGGTGGGCGGCGATTGGGCGTAGAAGCTTGCCTTCGCTCAGGATTTCGTAGGATTTCGGCGAAGTTCCCTGGGTTGTTTATCAAAACTCTTGCGAAGAAATGTTCATTAATTCTGTAGTTGAAATCTTGAATGGGTTCAAGTTTCAGGTCGAAAAGAAGACTTTTATTTCGGATGTGACATGGGGCACCAGTGATTGTGCGAAGAAACTTATTTTGCACTACCTGAATTTTCTTAATATCCTTATGTGTATGTTTGAAGTGATACTTTGATACTTTATTGGTTATTCTGGCATGCAGCGGGAGATGCACTACTCCTGCTCTTTCCGGATTCCTGAATGAGTCCCCTTAGGGTCCTGATGTATGTAAAAGTCCAAAAAGGAAGCTTCTCTAGCAGATATAGCCTTGCAAAAGAAAAAGAGAAGTGAAGCCCTGAGCTTCGGTGATCAGCAAGCCATGTCTGGGGCTGCTGCAGAAGGACAGGGTATGTTTGAAGTACCAATACCAATAACAATAATGAATTATTGCTGGTACATCACGCGAAGCGCGACGTTACCAGCTCTGCTGAAATAGTGCCGTGAGAATGGCAATTGAGAATGTAATTGTACGTGAAGGGTATTGTGTCCGTGGGACGGTGACTTGAGTCCGGGAGAATGTTTGAAGTTGGATCTTGGATCTTCGTACTTTTAAGTAGTACCAGTCGTGAGACTTCTACTAATATATTTCACTTCGAATACATCATGGGGAACTTCAGGAGCTTTAATAAAAGCTTTTTGGCAATAATCTTTGGCATAAATACTGGAAATTTCATCATTCACTTACTTCACATGTTTTAAATTTCAAAACAATTTTGTAAAAAAGTTAAATCACATTAAATAAACTGTAATATATAAAAGAAAAGTAAAAATTCTGGAGTAAATAAAGAAGTAGAAATAATAATTACAAGTCCCATTTGAAATTTATCTGGTCCGGTTGGGACCAAACCTGCAATCTCGTGGAGCAAAAAGTTCCAAGCTCTATACCGCTCGGCTACGTCTTCATCTGGCCTCTTTAGCTCAAAATAGATCTTAAACAAACAGTTCGAGTGCCTGCAGAGCAAAATCAAGTTTCTCACTTTCGTTGGTGACTTTTGTAAGTTTGTGATACAAGTCTTTTAGTTTGAAGATTAAAGATTTAAATTCATCAAGGTTTTTAACATCTGAAATTTTGGTCTTTCCTTTCTCATTTTCTTTATTCGCTGTAACATTTGCGTAGGTTTTTTTACTAGTATCTTCTGTTTTTTGCTGTTCGGAGTTTTGTTGAATGAAATTTGGGAAATCTTTTTTTTGCGGAATTTTCTGTTTCGGGCGATATTTTCTGCAGGGGTGTTCCGGGCAATCAACGCTTGTAGCAGCATGAAAACCACCACAAAGCACACATCTTGCAGGAATTTTCTTTCTTTTCCTTGATAGGATATTGAAACGATTGATGTTTATCTAAACATCTGACGCATCGCGGCTGATTATGACAAGCTCTCTGAGTGTGGCCATAGCGTTGACAGCGGTAACACTGTACCGGGCCGGGTCTTGTGTTGTAACCGACTATTCGCACTCGCATGTCACTAATGTGCGTTATATTAAAACTTCTTTCTTTCTCCTGCGCCGTTCTTGGGGTTTCAAGGTAGAAAATCGGCAGCAATGCGGGAATTCCATCTCGCATTCTTTGAATTTGGTGAAGTTTTAAGACAGTGATTCCATGTAATTTGAGCTCTTCTTTTATTTCTTCTATTGGGGTCTGTGCAGTTAAACCTTTAATGACTGTTTTTAAGTTCTTTTCTTTAGTGAGAAGGAATGTGTGGAATGGGATTGGAGCTTTTTCGAGATAATCTTGTACCGTGCGAAAATCGTCTTCGTTAAAAAATTGCACTCTGATATTTTCTCCTTCAATTTTGGTTTCGAGCATAGAAATTTTTAAATTTTCCTTAATGTGTTTTCGTATTTCTGGCCAGTTAGTGTTTTTAATATGTGTGTCACTATCGGTGGTATCTTAGTATCTTTCGGGTATGGGCTGGTAGGTTTTTTTCGGCTTTTCAACTTGTGGAGTCATATCTATATCATCATTGTTGGCATCGAGCATTTCTTCGTTATTTAGTGAATCGAAACGTGAGGATGTGCTAATAGTTTGTGAACTGTAGGATGATCCGCTATCACGACGCGATCTTTTAGCCGGCTTTACGGTTGACCAGTCTTGTGTGCTATTGCTAGCGGATGGTGGGAATTGCGCGATATTTTTATCGACATCTCGTTTAGGAATAAATGAGTAAAGCTTCTTTTCCTGGGTTTTTAATTCATACTGCATAGAACGACGGACTTGAACGCTTTCTCGTGTGATCGGAAGTTGTTGTACTTTTTCTATGGCATCTTTTAATTCTTGAATGTGCTGAACAATTTGTTGAACATCGTTATCTAAATCAGAAGAAGGCTTCGGCTTATTGAGGCATTTGCCTTTGTTATCGATCGACATTCTGCTGGCTATCTGGTTTGTCGTATATGAAAAATCCTACTTACAAGAGAATCAAGCAGAGAGAGCAAAAATCCGGATTTCACTCTATGAGTTCAAAAGTCCGAAATGAAAATGTTAAAACGAGAAAATGTGATGTTTGAAGTACCGATGAAACGCGCTTTTATATTCTTGGTCAATGTCCGGACTCTTATCCTAACCACTCCATCGCCAGGTTTGGCGACTATTTTTATGTTGGGGTACACTTTTGCAATGTCATATCGGAAACGGCAAGAACTTTTTTGGTTACCTTATACTTACCGGAAGTTAATAAATGATGTAAAAAAGCCAATTTGACGGCTAAGAAGGAACCCAAGGACTATTGGTTGCTGAATTGCTATGATGTGATGGTTATGGAAAACATTTATTCTGTGAAAAAAGAAGTTTGTCACTTATTAACGTACTCCATGAATTTAATTTGAAGACAGAATGTTGAAGGAACATTAAAACAAATACAAAAATGTTACGCGGAATAATATTGAACTGTACATCCACCTTTGTGAGCCCTGCCAGAAAAAACAAAAAGGTATTTTTTAATATATTATTGTGAAACCTATTATTTTTCTGAATTTAATTTCCGTTGTCAGGTAGATCTTATTGATTTCCAGTCAGATAGAGAATACAAATTTATTATGTATGCCAAGGTCCTCTAACTATTTTTTTTTTCGTATGTAGAATAAAAGTTGTTTATTGGCAGTCTTTCATTATTTTTAAAAAATAACATTTGTATTTTTCATTCATGAAAGTGTTCTAAATAATAGCTTATCATGACCTTTTTTCATTCTTTGCCTAAAGCGCATTTCTCATTCTATACAATGATATATTTTTAGGCAAGGTATGAAATATGAGAATTATTATATACTTTACCTAACACCTCAGCGATGTCATCTGTCATTTCTCAGCTTCCAGATGCCCACATTTGGGTGGAAACTTACGTTATTCAAAATTTTATGGCTCTAGGTACCATTGTTTTATCACAATGCAGAAACATACATACATTTATGCAGATTTTCCATTATTTAATTTCTTTAAATATAATACAAGGCTCTAATATTTGGTGACAAGAATTTAAAACGTGATTCGCCGTTCATAGTTAATCAAAGCAAAATGCCAGAACGAAATTAATAGCCCTTCTGGCATAAGGCACTTTCGGCGAATAAGGTTTATTACTATGATTAATCCACATTGTATTACGCTGAATATTTAATCGCAGTTAAATTTTATTGACGTTGTCTATTTATTCAATTTTGTACTAAGAGTGTGCACCTTGCCCCCACGGAACAGTTCAATATCTCCCGCCATACAGGGTCGATTGACGAAACTGCGTTTTTCATACCTCGGTAGCGCGATTTAGGATATATATTAGATTTATATATGGCTTTGTTCTAACATAGGTATTTTGACACAAAATCGGACTTTTTCTGAAGCGGCATTCTGAGTTTTCAACATATTTCGGTTCTACGACTCAAATTATTCCCAAATTTTAAAGTTTGTAAAATATGGTGAGAAACATAACGAGAAATTTAAAAACTTACCTTGGCGCACTTTTTTCAATTTGCGCCAAGAATGATTCACTTGGCGAAATTCTTAATTTATAGCAACCTATTGTTTCCTTTTTTTCATTGAGCACGAGAGGGAAAAAAAGGTTAATTGTTCATACATTCACACAATTTTAACAAATTGCATAAAGCACATTTGGGGTTATTATCACTTATAAAAATTATATCAAATTCAAAATGCGACGATATATAAATTAACATCCATTTTTGTAAATTTTGAATTCAAAAATGCTTTCGAAAAATTTATAAAGTCATTAAAAATACAAATTTAAAAACAAATCCTAAAATAGCTGCGAATTTTATTTGGACTTATCCTAAATTTTGAACTTTGAAAAAAGGAATTAAGTAAATTTAGTAAAAAGAGAGTTATTAATAAATATATACCAAATTCAATTAACAGGGAGGAGCTAAAATGTTGAGAGTTAATTTTTTAGAAACTATCTGTGCGATTTTTCCCAAACTTGGCACTTTGGCATAATTTAAGTCGAAGAATTGAAATATGGAAAAAAATCGTTATGTCACTTCAGAAAAGTCCGATTTTGTGTCAGAATGCCTATGTTGTAATGGTGCTATATATAAATTTAATATGTATCCTAACGCTATATATAAATCTAATATGCATCCTAAGTCTTGCCTTCAAGGACATGAAAAATGTGAGTTAATTTTCATCAATCTGCGCAGTAGAACGAGAGATATAGAACTTTTTTTTTGTGTGCAAGGTGTACCTTACTTGATTTTTTCTTGTAATAAAATTTGGCATCGAGCACAATATGCATATAAATTTTTATTATTTTTTTGCCTTACCAAGGAGCACTACAAACAGGTATTATCTGTAATAATGTACGTTCCGTAAATCAATCTGCGCTCATATGTATTGCATTTATTTAATTTCTTTAGTATCTAACAGGACATTATCTATGTTAATGAAATTGCTTGAGTACAGCACTCATTTGATGTCTTTGAAATGACTATTAGTTCATAATATGGATATATGAGCCTGCTATTTCGCCAGCATAACTTGCTATTAGTGTCTGCATAATGTAAACGGAAAATGTATTTATGCACGATTTTATTAATTTAATTTGTAATTTGCTTTGCTTCATGATCTGTAATGTATAAATAATTGTACATATTTCATTACATATGTACCCGTGTCTATTATATTTGTATGCCTAACCTATAGCATAATAGTGAAAAGTAATTGAAATATGTATTGAATTAGCAGAAGTGAGTAACATATTACTAATTTGCAAAATTCTTGGTAAGATAGCATCTGCAGCATCAATTTTGTTTCCTTTTAAATTGTATAATAACGGTCAGTGCACATTATAACTATGAGCACATTGTACTCGATAATGTCAGCACGTCAGTATGCAGTGCTCAAATCTCAACAGTCCCCACCACGCACTTTCTTTCCATGTTCACACGCTGAAGAGAACGCATCTGAACCAGTGAGTCAGCTGTTCTGTCAATGTCGAAAAGAAAAGTCTAAAGTTCCGTGATCTAACTTTCGCGACATCTCGTCACTAAATTGGTGCATTATTATGGTATAGTGTTTGGTGTTTCTGGCAGCTGTATCTTTGGGCTCGAGTACGAATCCCAAAGAAGTCGGAAGTGTTTTGAAGTGTATAGTGTCTCTGCGGCATGGGAACATTCAAAATTCACTGTAAACCGAAAGTCCTCTCAAGCGGTATAGTGGCAGGAGAAAGAAGGACGGGAGACCCACAGACTCACCAGCCGTGGTTCTCTTCATCAAAACTGGACGAAATTTTCCCGTTCTGGGGAATGTAAAATAAATCGTCTTCTGTGGTGCTCTATGAGCTTCAAGGATCAAGTCAAGTTTCTTCAAGTCAAGTTCACGGAGTACTCTAGGCTATGCTTTTAGTTCCACATCATCAAAGATAAAATTAAATAGAAAGATAAATTACATCAAAAGAATGGTTCATCAAATAGGGTAAAAATTTAGAAAGCCAAAGTAAAATAAAAACTATATAAAATAATGCCTTCCGCACTCAAAGATGAAATCTCTAAGAAGGTCTTTTAAATTAAATTTTCAATCGAAACACAAGGATCAGAATCAATTTAGAAGAGGACAGTCATCATTCAAAAATTTTGAAAAGAAATTAAAAAGCGACGGAAGATTTCCTTGATTCTTGATATCATAATAATAAAAATATCATAATAATAAAGTCACAACAAGCATATGCGAAGAAGAGCTGCGTTTTCAGTATGAGACGGCTAAATAACCGATGGGTAAACCATTGCCGGTGAAAGCATTAAATTGCGAGTTTCGGGCCATTTGAAACAACAACTTTGCCAACATATAAAAAAGTACAATCTCTAACTGGTTTCAATTTCTTTCCATAATTTTAGTAATTTTTTTTCTGTTCTTCTCTTTAAGCCTTTGCGTGCTTTTATTATGTTCCTTTATTGTTTTTTCTTGTCTGTTTCAAAAATTATAATGATAATAAATATTCATTGTTCTTCTGAGAAAGTTAAGGTATGCTTTGGCAACAAGTTGTCTGAATCTACAAATAACGCGGTGAGCGCGAAATAAATGATATTTCGTAGAAACTGCATGAACAAATAAAACAAATATTATAACGATTTCTTGATTTTTCATTCATTTACCATTTCTCTCTCTCTTTTTCAGTTACAAATCTTCATTGCTGTTAATTTCTATTGATTAATTAATAATTAATATTACTAATTAATAATTTTAATAATTAAGATAATTACTAATTAATTAATAATGTTAATTTAATACATTGTTTGTCAAGAATTCGTTGAGCCAAATCCTAATTTTGAGCGCTGTGTGTGGACTTCACTCTATGACTATGTTAT